TTCTCTCGCGAATGTGCCCCCAAACGCATATGCCACAATTGGACTCTCGAACATATGCCATCCGATGTCTCCACGAGCGAATTCCGTCAACTGTCTCACCTTGAAGCTCATACGAGGCCACTATGCTTGCAGTTCCTTTCATTATCACCATGGCACCTCGAAGAACTTTAGAACTCCACATTATGAAGAATACCGATACCAATTTGAATCTAGGGCACTCAAGGAAATCAGATTTTTCTTCAACTACGGAACATGCCTCACTCCGGTCAATGTCCACACAATACCATCATGCATTCGATTCGACATTACCAACACCAATAACATCGCATTTAGCATTGTTCCCCAAGTTGCACTTTACTACTATACATTGCCTTGATAAGTAGTAAACCGGTTCTTTGTTTGGTGTAGCGTGAAAGAACAACCAGAATCCATAATCCATCCATCAAACGATGAATTATCGGTGACGAGACAAGACATAATCAGCATTATCCGAATTCTTTGTATGCTATAAGCGACAACATCATCCATGAGACTCAACTCTAATTCCCTTACCCTTGTTGTTTTTCGGCTTAAGGCAATCCCTTCTAATGTGTCCCCTCTTGCCACAACTCCAACAGAGACAATACCACCGAGTCCTAGGTGACTTCGTCTATTCGAGTGCATACTACTCCACCTGCTAACACGTGTGCAGTTCTTCCTCTATTTTCATCTACTAAAGCAGCATATACATGTTCTTGATTCTCTTCCTACGGATGTCTTCACTCGGGAATTAAATCTCGAACACCATCAAACGTCAAACTTGTCGACCGGAGAATTACTAACAGCGATATGGGTAGTATTCGAACTATCGAACAGCGAGGATAATAGAATCAAAGCACGTACCTCATCTTCAAAGTCAATCTCAAAGTTGAACTCAATTGACTAACGATCACATTGAATTCATTAATATGATCGGCAAGCTGACGCACCTTCGCTCATCTTCAAATTAAACAGACGTCGCATCAAATAGACTTTGTTGATTGCGAGAGGAGCTTCTTGTACATGTCCGACATGGCTTTCATCAAACCCGCGGTGGTCTTCTCATTCACGATGTTAAACGGACGTTACAAGCCAACGTCGCGGCCGAATAACACTTTGGCTTCGTCTATCCAACAATTCTCAATCAGCTTGCTTCATCGTCTCGGCTTCTCCCCGAGACAAGGGCAAGTGCAATTTCATCGATATAGATGATCCTCAATACGCATATTTCGGAAACCAAAGTCTTTCCCATCAAATCTGTTGATTCTCACTTTTCCTTTTTACGCCATCGATTCACTTCAACTTAAGCAAGTCTAGCTCGATACCAATTGTTGCGGAAACCAGCGATCGAACAATAAAATTGTGAGGAATAAGAAAATAAATCGGACACTGATTTACGTGGTTCGATCGTAGTGACCTATGTCCACGGGGAGAGCAGTCAGAATTTCACTACTAGATCAAGCGTACTGACGGAGATTACAACCACACTCGAGTCACTCAAACACTCTCGGTGTTTCGAAGCCCCAATTACACCCAATAACGCACACGGTGTTTAGCTCCCAATTCCTCACGAAATAATCTCTCAATCTCGCAAAGGAATTATACACAAATTTTATCACAAGATTTAATCGCTACGAACACTTAAACTCTTGGTATAATTCCCAGCGAACAAAACCACGAATATTGCCCACCGCCAAGCACTCGCACACTAGTGGCGCTTCAAGAATAACTTCACGTATTCATCAACAACTGCATAAATATATACTCAGGAAGAAAACGCGGCGGACTCAAAATTGGAAACCTGGATAATTCGGTCAACCAAGATTGGCTTGGACTTTCCCTCTGTTGATTGTGAATCCCACTAGAATTAGGAAAGAATACTTCTATTCTTTCTATTTTCTTTCTTTTATTTCTTGCCGACTCCAACAAGAGGAAATAATTCTGTTTTCGTTGATTTCTTTCTTCTTCTGACACATTGACCGAGTCATTGTGTAAATCAAAGTCACTCGGACTTTCCAATTTAAAACCACGGACTCCAACTCCAATCCGGAAACTCACGTCTCTTTTGCTTTGCTTGATTTGGATGTCACCAAAATATCCCAATTTAAAATATTTAGATTTTCGCCGGGCTCAAACTCGAGACATATTTTCAACAATTGGTTTCTTAAAATATTTTTTATTGATGAACAAATCGATTATATGTACCTATCTTAATATTCTTGATATTACTCTAAACTTATTAGGTCAATCACCCATTTCCCTAAGATGGTGAAATTGTAGTTAAATTTCGTTCATATCACATGCTTCCTCGGTACTTGCCTCATCATTATAGGTTACCAAACAACGTGAAGAGAGGGAATGGGAATCCTTGAGTTCATTCAATACCATCAAACAGGCCAGAGAGAAAAATAGAATACGGGTTCACTCAACCCATCGGTTGAGATGAGATGAGATGACACTCCAATGGCTCTGTCACGTCCTCCCGATGGCCCTAACTCCTTCACCCATGGGGGTCGGCCCAACCACCCATGGTGGGTGGGGCTTTGTTTATTCGGCCCAGTCCCCAGCAAGAGTGCTGGTCGACGTAACCCCGTCAACATCCAAAGTATCAAATGAGATAAGCTCACATAAAAGTAGTATCATATACAGCCGACCAAGTTAGTCCAAAAAAGACATGTCGATAAGTTTTCATACGGAAAAAGAATTTCTTTGAAGTGATTTTTTGTAATATTTATTTCTCTAAATTTTGCCATGTCCTTTAATCTTTTTAATGAATTTTTAATTTTTCAAGATATTTAAAGATTTTAAAATTTAAGTAGTCTTTTAAATTTCGGCATAAGATGTTATGGTGTGGCGTGGTCTGTTCATCATATTTGCCCGAGAAGGATAGCTGCCGTCTGGGCGTTGCCTGAGGATACTGCCAAGAGTGCCATATGCCACTCCAAAAATCCATAAAGTTGCGATCTAATTATTCCTGAGTCTGACTCTCTTAGTTTGTTGGAAACGATGACGAGAATATTGTCTTTCTTTTGGCTCCTTTAGGATGTCATTGACAGATTTTCAGACCCTGAATTCCTACCATCAACTAGGAACCTAAACGACGAACTAAGCTTCGTACGACTCATTTGATTAAATTCCCAGCTCCTGAAGCGAAACAATTATCCTTCCTGCTATTAAACGAAGTCCTCCTCCGTACCTCCTCCCAATAGCCTCTCTCTCTCTCTCTCTCTCTCTCTCTCTCTCTTTCTGCACCAAGCTCTCTTTGTTCAGAAGGGACACGTCAAGTCTGAAGCAGAGGGGAAAAGTGAATACGTGAGTAGCTACCACTAATTCCTAATATGTTTTCTGTGAGAATTTGTTAAGGAGAGCCCCTGCAAGTCTTCGCTTAGAGAAGATAACAAATCTAAGCATATTATATGTTCCAGTTTTTCTTGATTAAAACTTTCTTTGCAAAGTATGTTATGGTTGTGGTTAAGGAGCGGAGTTTTATCCTGAATTAGGCTCAAAACACATGTTCAATTTCCCCGCTGCCAAGTACAAGCAATTCTGGGTTCGGGCCGCTTATCCGAGTTTTAGCTCACATTTTACTTGGCACATGAATTTAAAGAAAGCATTAACAAGTGTTTTTAAGACACTTATTAGTTGTTAACATGGCTATTTCCAGATTTATCTTAGTAAAGGGCAACGCAATTACATTTATGGTGAGGCCACTAAGAACAATTGAATTCAACTTAACCATGCTCGCTTTTCTTAGGCCATGTAGATGTATAATTGTTTAATGCACGAGGGAACTAGGAATACTCAATTTGATTACAGTAGGGCAGCCTTGTATAACATGACCTAAACAAAGGTCATGTTAATCATTTCCCATGAATAAATACCTTCTTATTCGCATTCTGTAGAAGCAAAAGGTGTATGATTCTGCATGATTTTACACTGTGACCTGAAGAATGTGACAGATAGTCGAACTCGTCCCTTTAATCCCACCATGATCGGCATTCTGCCAACTAGAATAACCTTTTGGAGAGAAAATATAAGTTCTTGGATGGACTTGAGTTAACTCTAGACTTTTGTTCACCTGAGTGTGCGCACAGTAGAGATAGCATGAAAATAGGAAAGATTGAATGGGCTATTTTCGCAGCTGCAGGGAAGCAGAGAGAAATGGAGGCCATTACTGGAGAAGTGAGAAGAATTAAAGTCCTTTACTTCCTCAGGCATGGCCGTGGGACTGGGGACGGGGTTGAGCAGCCTCACCTGTTCTGTGCCTATCACAGCAGCAGCAATGACCTTCTTTTAAAAGGTTCATCATGGCTTCCAATCCCTTTTTCGGGGTCGTCTACTACTACTAGCAATTGTACTACGTATTTAGCGTTCACATACTTGCAGTAACCTTCTTTTCCCTTTTTTTTTTCTCCTCGATGAAGATATTAAGAGGTGGCTTGCGGATTTGAGAGGAAGCCACTTGACCGAGACCTTATCTTGGTCCTACAAAAGGTTCACATGCACTTACTGGCCAGACTGACTATCTATTTTCTTCGTGAAAAATTTGGGGGATAACCCGTCTGAAGAATCAAGACTGCTGACTATAATTGGTTTGGCTGAAAATGCAGGAGGTGCAAGACGGGATACATTTGGCAAGAGGTAGTGGATGACGATCTTGTGATGCCTACCTCTCGTAATAAGTATGTCCTCCAAGGATGTGAAAAAGTTGCCCTCCCTTCATCCGGTACCCACTCACTTTCATGTTCTTTCCAGTATCAGTTTATCATTCCTCGATCACTACTAGCAAGTGACATGTAGACATAATTAAAAAGTGCAATTTTTAGATCATTTTCAGTTTCACCTTCCATTACTCTCTCTAAACATTCTATTCCGATGTTCCTTCTGTTTTATGTACTAAACGTATGAGTTTTCTTAAAACAGAGTCTTGTACATACAACGATGAAGCATCCGCTGGTAATAAGGTATCCAGTTCAGAGAAGAAATCAGAGACAAGTACCCGCATTCCTCGCAGACAGAATCACCGACATTCCTACAACATTATTTTATCCTCAGCTCAGACACATCAACGTTCACCATCAAATCAGGGCATCTTGAGGATGATGAGGAGCATTTTGGTATGAGTGAACCCGACAACCATAGTCACTGTCATACTTCTTTCAAAAACATGGAGAAATGTGAGAGAATCCGAGGAGGGATGGCTAAAACACCTGTTTCTACCTTGTCATTCGTTCAACCTCCATTAACAGAGAGTAAAAGGCGTTTTAGTGGAGCATCCCACAAGTTCAGGAATCTAATTACGTGTGGTGCTACGGATACGAATGACGCAGTCTTGGTGATGATTGATCGGGTTGAAATGAAGATTAGTTTAAGGCAGGATTTTAACATCGAAAGGTCATCTCAGATATGTAGGGTAGATAGATTAGGAGGGTCTCGTAGGACCTCAAATACTTCTTGGAGTACTGGGAAAGGGCGACAGGAACCACATTGCCATCCAAGGTAATGTCCGCATATCTACTCTCTCTGCCTGACTGCATGACATGCACTTATGCACGTCTTTGCTTGCAAAAGCCCGTTTGTTCATATAAAGGAAATCAGAAATAGCTGCACTGCTGCAGGAAAAGCTTTGATGGGGTCAAGGGCTGGAAAAGAAGCAAGAAGCAGAAGAATGCTTGTGAGGGAGACGGAATTCTGGATGCTTATAAGCCCACTTCAATGCCTAGTTGCTCGTAAGCGATTCGTTCATTTCATCATCCCTTGTTATTTGGTACCAGATAAAATTAGTTTTCTCGGGAGATAGAGTCAGGTTACCTTTTTTGGTCTAATTATTACGTTTCTTGAGGAGCAGAAATCCACAATTACTTCTATCTAAGATTAAGAGTGCTTATCCTTTGATTCGCATTTGGTCTTATGACTGATCAAGGGGCAGCGTTCAATTTTACTCTAAATCAAAGTCCTAAAGAGAAACCCTGCACTTTCATTCTTTGAACAAGTCTCTCTCCTGTTACCTTTTCCTCCTATCCAATTTGGTTGAAGTGCCAAGAGGATCACGGTTCTGCAAATCAACAGTGAGTCAATGCATTGCATGCCTAAATGGAGCAACTAGGCTCGAGTTTTACATGCTGATTTTCTCCTAGTTTGATTTTCTTGAAGAAGTTCAGAACATTGGTAAAAAGCGACGTGGAAATAGGACGGCAGTCACTGAACAATTTCTCATATTTATATTTCTAATCATAACTCCGATTCATTTTTAATTGAGTTACTCACTCTCACAGACAGTTTGCTCTTATTTTTCCGACTCATCGGACACTCATTCATTGACATACAACTAAGGGACTCTCTTGCATTCACGCTACATACCCACACAGACTACTATGATCACTCATGCTTGTGCCCACAAAAGTTTACACCTCAACCTATTCATAGGCCGTGGAGGTCGACATGATTACCTGACTTTGTGCAAATATCCAACATTCTGGATGGCCAATAAGGCCAATAGATATTGAAGTAGAAAATTTTGAATGGTGCTCGAGAATTGTTGAGATAGGGGCAATGGTGATCGTTCAACATCCGACACAAACATTAATGTCGGCAAAATGTAGAGGGGAATCATGTGGAAGTTTGTACTCTTCCAGCTGTGTTTTGTTGATAGAGTCAGATGTGCTAAGTCTTGGATGAGGAACTTAGTGTTGAATACTTAATACATGACTTGGCATATGCAGGCAATGTGGAAAGCCATTTAAGCCTGAGAAAATGCACAAGCATATGAAATCTTGCAAAGGAAAGAGGGTTTTATCAGAGAGAGCAATAGTTAAGGCGCCATGCTTGCATTATGAAAATGCAACTCTCAGATCGAGGATCCATCTCCAGGCTGCTGCCTACATTGGCCTTCAGAAGATCAATCTATATTATGTTCAACTTGCGTACAAGTCAACTTCATAGGTGGATAATTCGTTGACTAAAATACTCTCACCTCTAAATTAATCCCTTATACATGTGAGTATGAATCATCTAAAATTTCATTCGACCCAAACGAGACTTTTGACAGGAATATAGAGAATATTGCAAAGGTTCACAACCTTTTGCATAATCAATGCAATCTTGTGCTGGCCAAAAATATCCACGGTGGCACAACAACCGGTTCATTTTTATTTCAGCTTGATGTACGCCACATATTTCTTCATGTACTTCTGCCATGGCCAACATTGATATGTTTTTACTTAAGCACATGAGTTCCCATCAACAGTTCTTCTGTATAACTCGTCACCAAGTAGTAAGTATTTCGTTGCTTGTCTTTTCAAATTTTTATCTTTGGCAATTGGGTTCTTCAAATAATCAGCAAATGGTTTTGTCCAATCCCCTTGGTCTTTATCGACAACTTAATCCCCGACTGAATTGGCATATAACATCATCACTCGGTTTTCCATCGATGGCAATATTTTTACTTTATTAACGATGAATTTTCCCAATTCCTTTGCTATTCTATACTCATACGGCATTTGAGTTACCTTATTGGCTTTCGACCTTTCATCTATTTTGATATGGACCAATTCGTAATCGGAGAAATTATTTAGTAGTTCTTTCGCCAATGTATGATGTCGAATAATGTTCTTATTAAGGCATTGATATTCTTTAGTTAATTGTTTAATCACTAACTGAGAGTCTTCTATTTTTACAAATCACGCATTTATGTTAGCGAAGATGTTTAGGCCGATTATCAATGCCTCATACTCTGCTTGATTGTTTGAGCAATCAAAATCAAGTTTGAACATGAATTTTATCCTATGTCCCTACGGGAACACTATGAGTATTCCTATACCTGAGGCATTATTTGCACAGGATTCATCGAAATATAGAGTCAATGGCATCGCTTGTACTAAATTTTCATCTTTTTCTCCTTTAGTGTGCACACATGTGTCGCGACCTAAAAAAAAATCGGATTTTCGATCTTAGGCTAATGGATTACTAGATCAATTAAATTAACTAACCTAGCTCGAGTTCTCCCAAACTCTACCAAATCGCAACTTAGGTCCAATTGTGAGCATGCAAATATTTTCAATGGGAGTCGCCACTAATCATTTAAGGTAGGTTGATTAGAAACCTAAATAAAATAGCGAGAGTACTATTTTATTTCTGCGAACCAGAAATTATAAATTCGGGGACTTGATTACGCTAGATTCCCTAACGCCTTTTCGGTACCAATTTCAAGAGAAATACTCAATTGGACAATTTTGATAAATCGACTTAGAGTTCAAAGGTGCAGAAATTTTCTTTTTTGATTTTTATTTATTTAAATGAAAGCTAACCTATATGTAATGATGTGCAAAAATTGACATATGATTAATGCAACCTAATATGCAAACTATATGTCATGCGGCAGCGTGATCTATTTCTAATGACGGGCATATTATTTTTTTTGTATTTTTCTTTAATGAAATTCGGAATTAAAAATGCCAATTATCTAAACATGCAATTTTAAAATAAAGAAATTAACTTATTCTAGAGTAATCTTTTTGGCATTTTTTTATCAAAATTCGAAATTAAAATCAAGTAAAAAATATAACCGCTAAATCTTTGAATTAAGTTTCGATCGAAGCATGACGGATCGATCCTAAAATTCGAAATACCCGTATGGAAATAACTCTATCTAAAGCGATAGATAGATTTATTTCCACGTGTCTTGATTGCGGATTAGGAAATTTTCCTAATCGATCACATCTTGAAAAAAATTAGATATCTTAAATATCTTGGATATATTCAAAAGATTTTGAAAATTCTAAATTCTATCCAAATTTGAAAAGTAATAGATATCCAAGATTTCAAAAAAGGAAATAAAATCCTAATTGAAATAATGCTTATTATCCAAATATGCAAAATTAGATATCAATAAGCACAAATTAGGCAACCAAATATTCGAATCAAATCGGGATATGATAATTACACGATTTGCGGATTTCTTTCCTAATTTGAATACGCAGCGGATCGGGATTGCGGATCGGCGGTGCGTCGGGAGTGGCGGCGTGGCGTCGGGAACAGTGGCGGCTAGCGACGGTGACACGATAGGAGCGGCGGCGCGGCGGGCGTCTCGGCGGCGGCCAGCGGGCGGGGACGGGCGACTCTCCGGCGGGCTGTGCTGGCGAACAAGCGGCGGCACGGGCGGTGGGCTAATGGCGGTGCGGTAACCGGCTAGCGGCGGTGCACAGCGGCTACGGGCGCGACGGCGGTGCGGGGCAGCTCTCCCGGCGGCTATCGGCGGCACGGCGACCGAGCGGGCGGAGTAAAGGGCGTCCGGGGCGAGTGTACCGGTAGCAGCGGTGGTGTGCGACAGCGGCGCGACGGGCGTGCGGCAGCGGTGGCACACAGCGAGGACAGCGGCGCACAGCGGGAGAGCAGCGCGCCGCAGCGGTGGCACAGCGGGCGAGGCGGGCAGCTCGGCGTAGTGCGGCGGCGGTGGCGCGAGCAGGCATGCGGTGCGGCTTGTGGGCGGTCTCCTTCTCTCTCTCTCTCACTCTTCTCAAAATTCTCTCGTATGTCTCTCTAAAAATCCGATCTGAAAAATTATGAGAGCCCTCCCCCTTGATTATGAGACATAAACATATATTTATAATGTAAACCTAGGTCAATTAGCCGGGCTTTCTAGTCCTAATGGGCTTAGGTTTAGGCTTTAATTTAATTCTAAGTGGGTTGAATTAATTTGGGCTTTTCTTTAATTAAGCATAATGGGCTAATTTAAGCTCAAATTAAGACAACCAAGCCCTTTTGTGTGTGATTTTCGGCTCATGCTTTCCGAGTGAGCCGAGTCTCGTTCGGTGCCCGAGCTCGATTTACGTGATGAATTTTAAGCTTGCTTACCACCGCCGATCCGATCTGAAATACGGTTAATCTATATGAACCTAAACTTTATGCTATGCGATTTGTAATATTTTTGTTCGGGGATTAAATTTTAATCCCTAATTTTCTATACAATTAATTACTAAATGATGCGCTGAAATTTAGGTGTCAATAGTTGCCCCTCTTTGAGTGGAGGCTCGCGAGGAGGTTTCGCTCAAAGGCGAGACTTAAATTTAAACTATGCAAAATGATGAATGATGATTTTTTAATGCAATGATGCATGATATGCAAACAATAAAGAACAGTATGCTAAGGCTTCTCACTTCGTGTAGAGCGGTGAAAGAGCCTTACATACGGATCGCACAAAAAGCGTCTAAGTGAAGGAAAGCTTTATAATGCTTTGACTTCCCTCGATCTCCAAACTTACGGTCCCTTTGGAAGTAAGGTTCTCGAGTCTTGGATTGCCTATACATTACACTGTAGTTTCCTACGGATGCGAAATAGCGCATGATATAAAGAAAAGAATGGGATGTGTTGCCCATACCCTTTGGGCAATCACGAAAAGGATCATGTCACCTCTTCCATTGGATGAACATGAAATGGGGTGTGCCGCGTACTCCACTTATCAACACCAAATGAGAAATTATGCTGCACCCTCTTTGGGCAAACATGAAATGGGGTGTGCCGCGTACTCCACTTAGCAACACCAAATGAGATATTATCTTTGCTGTCCTACGGGCGAACATAAAATGGGGTGTGCCGCGTACTCCACTTGGCAACACCAAATGATATGTCACTGTTCCACTTGGCGAACATATGAAAGAGATCATGTCTCACATTGCAGGGAAAAGAGAAACAATGAAGAATAATTAGTAGACGTACTGATTTCTTCTTGTGTTATAAAAATGGCAAAGCCAATTGCATTGCACTGTTTTTACTGAGAAAAGGCTAAAACAACACATGCGCGGGGGCATAGAAAACATAATTCATGAATGCGCTTGCATTACCAAGCTTTCTTGGGGAATTTATCAATAAGAACAACTATTTCGTCCTTTTGACAATTTGATCACATTAAATGAGAAACCTTTAATCATAAAGGACTTTCTACTCACTTTCAATAAAAGGCTTTTGACCCGACCTTTGATGCGGGTATAAGAATCACTCAAACTCTCTTCATCGTGCTTGACAAGGGTTCGGATATTCTCAAAATCGGTATGACTTGACCAATCGAGAGGTCTTTATAAGGACTAAAGCGTGGGTTTGGTCAATGGCTTAGCAAAAGGGACTCTTCGAGTCAAGGCTATTGAAAGAATTGATATCACCAGTACTCAGGGTTTACAAGTCGGGAATCTTTGCAAAAATGAGATAGAAAAATCTTGCTCGCACTTCTTGAGCAACATTTATAAGCATTTGAAACTCTACGTTAACTCAAGTGCCCTATTGAAGAGACTTCGGTAAGGGTTGTAACGTAGGTTCGGGTAAGGCTTGAAATGAATGGCTTATTTCATCAAAGGGGGTATTATGAACATGGAGATTGGTGATCATCCAATTATGCTCTGGTACCATTGACCTATCTCTAGCAATTGCTCCACAAATGAACCTTCAAACGGTCTTTTCCTTGAAGGCGATCTTGTATGTCGACTCAGTTCTTCTTTGAAGCTTTTCTTTCCCTCCTTTTTCTCTCTCTCTTTTTTTTTAGAGATTTTCTTTTCGAGAGATTTTTCGAGAGAGAGAACTTCAATTTAATGGAGTCCTTTTGCGTCCTTTCGATGAATTTTCTTTCTAACTCCCATTTGCCTCAAGTCACCTTGAACTTGCTTTGAGATGATTTCATTTGTTTATCACGGAATGATCACCAATCGGGTTGAAATGAATTCACCGCTCAAATTGGGTATGCAAAGGTATAATGTGTAGGGATATAGAAAGAAATGCTCTTCGTCATATCTAAGGCACTCGAGCTAACCTGAGAACTTGCATGCAATAAATATACTTAAAGATTGATGCAAGTGAAAGCAAGAAAATTCTAACCATTTTGAACTTTTTAAGAAATTGCCCGGTATGGGGTTGTTCTGCGAGGGGTAGAAATGAAACTTCGTTCAAAGGGTTAAGCAAATGATAACTTTGTAGTGTTTAGATAGGAAATGAATGCCTTTCATCATTTTGGTCGTCATACTTTTCGTGAGATAATCCTTTACCTTGTCGGCTACGGAATTTTCACTCAACTCGCACTAGGGATTATTATTCAGAACATGTATGGAAATGTCTTGCCTTTCGTCATCTTGAAGTCTCTCATGCAATATGATCGCTTCATTAGGACGAAGCAGTTGCTAAATCAAAAGCCTTCCTCAAACAAAACTTGGTAACATAAATTGATTCATGAAATTCAACTTGATACTTGATAGAA